ATAGATGGGCTGGTGGGGTATGCGACGATAACAGTGAATGCGACGCGTCGGCGCGTGTTGTTGCCCTGTCGGCGTTCGCTGCAGCTTTTGCCGACGCTCGGAAAGGCGGCGCAAAATGACGTCGAACCGTCAATCGCTACTTTCAATCAGCTGCGAATTGGCAATCGACAACAGTGGCTAACTTCGACATGTCATAACGAAGCGGCTCGTGTAATTGCTTCATCTTTTCACGATTTTCTGGTGGTCAATGGAACGCATCGCATACTCCGGGCAACTGGCATTGCGCCAGGAGCTCTGCGCTTCGTGTCTGAAGACATGGCGCAGGTCGCGTGCTTCGACAGAGGCAGGGCGGATAGGGCTTCAGAATAGCAATCGGATACAGCGTCGCTTTAAAGGCTACATTGCACCAGAAGGCGAGCAGGCCAGACCCATTACAGGCTTCTATGCAGGTTCGACCTCACCCACGTTGTCTGCGAAACCAGAACTAACAAGAGCTAGACATGATAAAGAAGCCACTCTCAGAAGTACAATCCCTATCCCACACGACACCGGAACCGCCAAAAGAGCCACCGAAGACACAGAAGGAAGAGACGTTTGCGAAAGCCCGTATAATCTTCGGGTCTACAACTGCATTGGAAGAACGCAAACAGGAGATCATGAAATCCTCTCAGAACGTTGCCGGCGTACTAGTACCTCCGCGACCCGAAGAACCAGATAACTGCTGCATGTCTGGATGCGTGAACTGTGTATGGGACATGTACCGGGACGAGATGGAAGAGTGGGCAGAGAAGAGCGCCCAAGCCAGAGCGGCAATGCAGGCACAGCGGCAGGAAGGAAAAGGCACAGGAAGCATGGTAGCGGGAGACACATCACCGAGTCATGTTGCTACGAGTATGGACGACGACGGTGGTGGCAGTGAAACGAATTGGGACACTGGTATCGATGATGCGGAGAAAGACAAGTTGTTCGATGATATACCCGTGGGCATTCGGGAGTTTATGAGGACGGAGAAGAAGTTGAAGCAGGCGCAGAAGAAGGCCGAAGCCGCTGCGGCAGCGTGAACTTCGAATTCGGCAATACCCATGCAGTTATCTTGCCATTCAAATACCCATCCATTACACATCTTGCGATATTCCATCCTATGCCCCAAAATAACACCAACAATGCTGCACCCCAAGCTTCCATCTCGTCTAATCTTCGCCGACATCCACGCCCTTTGCCTGAAGGTCTTTCCGCGCCTCCGCTATTTGCTGCATGAGCTCCTTGTGCGCGTCCGGTACGTCGTTGAAGGTGAAAACTCCCCAGCCGAGCTTGAAGAGAAGGTATGCGCCGAAAGAGATGAGGGCCCAGAAGGGTAGCTATGGTTTGGTTAGTGGCAGCCCAGTACAATAACAATGGAGATGGTGAAGGTAGTGGGGCTACGCGTTCAGGTAAAGCTAAGACTTACGAAAGGTACAATCTCCTCTTGGATCTTCTGAGGCAGCGGGACGACTTGGAGGAACAGTGAGAGGTAGATCTGTCACATGTTAGCATTCAATCTTGTATATGTAGAGGTAAGGGGCTGCATACGGAGGTGAGGAGCATGCCAATGCTGATGGTCTGCGTGGCGCGCGTCATGTTGGCGAATTGGTTGTTGTAAACGGGTTAAACGAGGGTCGGTGGTCGGAAGAAGTGCGGGTGAGGGCGTGATGCTCGACGTCTGTGGTGGTGAATGTTCGGTGCCAGATCGCTCAATTGCCGCCAAGGGATCTGTGTCCAGGGGTCCAACGGAACCGGCCAAAGGCAAGGCCAACCGCGCGGTGGATCGACGCTGCCGCAGGAACTCACCCCGTTTCTTTCCGCATCTGAAAAAACAAGTGGCTGAACTATTGATTGCACTTTTTCTGGAGTTCTCCTGAAACCAATCCGACTAGTAGCCATCACCTGTACGGCGGCTCCGGACGACTGCGAGTAGCCGTTTCATCCTTGCGCAATCTCTACCGCCACTATGCACACTTGAGCTTTGCCACGACTTTGAGCGACTGCGTTTCTTCATCTTCACACTTTTGCGATATGTCATTATCCAATGAGGAGCTTGGCGACTATATAGCGTCTTTAGAGCGCCTACTCCAAGGCAACCCTGCAGGCCAGACCGCTGTCCTCACAGGTTACGTGCATAAGCTCGATGCGTTTGCAGCAAGTGGGGACAATGAGGCCATAGAGAAGACCTTGCAGCTGTTTGGGACGGCTGTTGGCGGTCGTAGTATGTTATGCCTCTGTTCAAAGCCAACCCTGCTGACACTGTATAGAAAGATGGCAGGCCCCGTTCCGCGACAGCGGCATCCTTGCTTATGCTCTTCGTGGCTTGTCTACCGTTCGCCATGAAGATCCCGTAGCAAAGCAATACCTGAGAGTCATCGGCAACTCGGTTGCTGATAACGGTACTGTAACCTGAAGAGACCCTCGTTCGACGCAAACAGTCTGACTGGAGTCAAGATACCAACAGAGAGCTCGCCGTGAGAGAGCTCGGTGCCATCGCTGGCTGCCTTCCCTCGCCAGAACTACGCTTGACCACTTTGGCCGTACTTTTTAATCTTTGTAATGATTTTGGTGAGCAATGCCACAGGATCCTCCAGACATGCAGCTCATGCAGATAGAACCCGGCAAAGCTGCAGCGGCTGCCCTCAGACTGGATGCCACAATATGCACATTCCTAGTACTGGACAGAATCCCGGAAGCAGCCCTGGATTACGCTACGGACCTGCTGAGCTGGACCACAAGCAACCTGAGCGACGCCCAGTTCAAAGACGAGGTTTCGCTGGAGACATTCAAGAGTCTGCTGAATGTAGCACTGCAATACGATGAAGATCACCACCTGGAGTATGTGGCCATTCTGGTACATTACCTCCAAGACCCAGAGTTCCAGCAAAGGATAGCAACACCGAAACTTCTCGACGACCTTGTCACCCTGATGCTGGAGTTTGAGGCCCGACTGGAGCCAGAGGACATCGAAGCCGTCTTCCAGGAACTCGCAACAAGCAAAAACGCGGACACCACCACATCAGACGAAGCGCAGGTTCTTCTAATGGCTCAACTCATCGGGCTGCTATCTGCCGCTTCAGCAACAGATGTGTTTGCACGAAGCTTCAATGTCAGAAGTCCTGTTATCGAGAGGCTGGAAGCAAAGTTGCGCGCACCTTGGGAGAGCGCATACCCATCTACGATATGCGCTTGCGTTATGGTCGGAAATCTGGCCATGTCTGATGAGGTTTGCATAGACATGGTCAAGATCATGGAACTTCACGTTCGATTGATTGTGATCCTCAAGAAGAGCACTAAGCCTGCCCTTCTTTATGCTGCAGCTGGTTTCATGCGGCATCTTACGTTTCCAGAGGCTAACAGGGCTTTGCTTGCAGATGCCGGACTCATGGAAGCGTGTTGTCGCATGCTCGTACTGGATGATCCTTCAGTCCGAGGCGAGGCGGCAGCTATGCTCTGCAAGCTCGTCACCGGCAACTTCTACAACATCGAGAAAGTTATGTACGAGACTGTCGGTCCTGACACAGAAGCCATCGACCCAGACATCTCAGCCGACACCGTCATTTTCTCACACATTGTCGAGCAAGCCCTCGCGCCGTCAGCACCGCTACCGAGCACTACGATGAAAAACCCAATGATCGAGCTCGGTCGCACCATTGTCGCCATGCTGCGATATCTTGGACGGCCCAATGCCGAAAAAGACGTTGAAGCAGTGCAAATACAGATCTTACAAGTACCCCAGATAGCCAAACCGATCGCCCAGCTTGTACGACAGCGCTTCTACCCTGAAGCTCGATCTGAAGGACTGCTCGGTCTAGGCTTACTAGCCCAAACACTCGAGGGCGCCGCAGCAATTGCCGAAGAGATCAAAGAGGACAGCGGCCTCCTCGAAACAATCAAAGAGCATGCCAACGCAACAGAAGCAGGTCTCGCGCAGCAATCCCCATCAACAGCTAGCCGAGATCACCAAAACGCGGTTGTGCTGCTCCAGGCGCTGCAGAACAATGCGGTAAGAGAACTCCAAGAAGCCGTCGGGGAAGTACTAAGGACTTCCAGACTGACCAAATGGACGCAATACTCTCGCATTAGACAGTCTCTGTCTAAGCACCAAGGGCGTCGCTCTTCAGGCGACGTCAGCACACTGGGTAGCCCTGGAGGCGCCTCACCGGGGAGAGTCAGAGAGTTGGCTCGCAGGGCTACTACGGATGCGCCTGGCATGTCGCCGGGGAGGGCTAGGGGGTCTACGCTTGCTAGTGAGACCAATTCAGATGAGCGGCCACGGACTCCTGTGAGAGTTCGGGAGGTCATTGGCGAAATTGAAGAGGTTTCTCCGAAGACAATGATCAAGGAGTCACCGGCGAGGGAACGGTTAAAGGGTAAAGGCATGAAGCGGACCAATACGGCACCGCAATGATTTCGATGATGGTTATGTCTTATGTTTTTAGTATCTACTCTACTTCTTCTTAATAATGCACTCTCCACTTATGACACCTATAACTGGCATTGCTGTTGATGTGATGTGATCGAATGTTGTGGTCGCCACTCCATCTAAACTACATGTTCCGAGTGAGACTCCCACCTAACACCACCTCACGCCACTTACAAACCACCATACATATCAATCAGATAACTCTCAAACGATCTCCAACAAATGGAAGAGAAGCGAAAAGCAGTGAATAATCAGCACGGTGGCGCCTGCGAGTCCTGAGCCTCACTCCGCACCATCAGCGTAATCAAGAGTGCTCTGATTGGCCAGACGAGCCACTCACGTGGATTCACGCGCTAGCAATCCAGGGTCCATGACATAGTACATAGAAGAGAGTTGGGTATAAAGAAGGGCTGTCTGTGGACGTATTGAAGTCATCAACAAGCTCAAATCTACCAATCTATACACTACTTCTCAATCTTACCTGAGATCTCGCAAACCAACAACAACTACATCCTCAACTTTACCAACCCACCAACCAACTCCAACATCCAAGATGGTCTGCTGCGGACGCAACAACGGCACCTGCGTGTGCGCTCAAGAGGCAAAGTGCTCGTGTGGAAAGCAGCCTGCTCTTCAATGCAGTATGTCGCTCCCTTCTTTCCTTCACCTTATGCCTTCTCTCCCCAGTCCGTATACCCAACATACACCACCTACCGCCTACCACCCACCACATTCTACCTCACGTATGTATACTGACATATCAACAGCCTGCGACAAAGCCGCCACCGAGAACAAGCTCCCCACCGACTCCTCAGCATGCGCATGCGGAAAGCGGACAGAGGATGCGTGCAACTGCGGTCGCGCTGAGAACAACGGATCGAGCAGCTTGGAGACAGACTTCACTACTAGCAAGTAGAGTGATGAATGTGGTATGAGTGTCTGAGGCGTATGGGGGTGCGCGGTGGTGTGTAGCATGAGAGGGTGTTTTTGGCGTTTACATGGGACGGTCGAAGGATCGAGGGTATACCTGATATCAGTGAATGATAATTTGAATGTTCAGACTTATCCTATTGCGTCTTGTTTGCTGTGTGAAGATCGCGTTGACGCGGTCGTATTGCGGACGCGCGCGTTCCTCTCTACTCTTGTCCTAGTCCTCCCTGTCCATCGCACAATGTCTTCGGGGACATGCTGGAGACTTTCGCGTTCATGGGAAACATGTGTTGTACAGTGGACGTTGCCGCTGCCTCCTTGGTCTCTATGTTCCCGGTCGTCATGCGTATGGCATCTCATCGATAGCTTGCGGAGCTCGGGGGAGAGCGGCGGCACGGTCGGAGGTGTGTCTACAGTAAATTTTAAGGTTATCGCGGCTTTGCTGAAAAGTGCCCTGCTCAGTACTGTCCAAAATTGAATGCATGGACCTGCACTTGCCGTAAGGGTCAAGATCGCGATGTCTTGCTCCTACTTTGACTCGCACGGGCAGGAGCTACACGCTAGACCCTGTTTGCTTGGCATCCATGTGTAGAACATCCACTTATTCCCCCCGTCAGTCGTGCATGCAGAGAAACAACTAGACAGCTTGCCGGGGTGTTGTGCGTCTTCCTTGCTCGTTCCAATTCCATGTCCTGCTCTCGATTGCGCCATAAGCCTGCAGCCAGCGTCTAGAAAGCGCTGACAGGCGCCCCTTTCGCGAACTATCGACCTCCGCTCCGCAGCGCGCACGCCGGCATAAACCCTGCCTCGAGGCCCGTACCGCACCATTCCATAGCGCACCACCACTACCGCCGCCGCATTGTCGGGCTACTTACCAGGTGGGAACCGCCCACCCACCACGTCGTCTACTACCACCAGCATGGCGGCCTCGGTCACTTCCAAGATGGCAGCGAGGGCTGGTGGAGGCCTCTTCAGCCGGGAGCAGTCGGGCAACGTGCCCACGATGCGAGGTACATGACGGCATGCCCACGAACAACGGACCAAAGCTCACACGCGGACAGGACTGGTCTCATTCATCGCTGATCTGAGGAATGCTCGCGCGAGAGAACTCGAAGAGAAGCGCATCAACAAGGAATTGGCCAACATACGGTGGGTACACGCTGCCGAGTTTAAGCATGTCCGGAAGGCTAACAGTGCTGCAGGCAAAAGTTCAGAGGTACCTCTCCTTGGATACACCTCCCCCATGACCTGCTCTGACAGAACACCCCCCAGATGCTGGCCTGAATGGCTACCAGAAGAAGAAATACGTCTGCAAGGTACACACGCCACTCACCGACTCTCCCACCCCATTACTGACTCTCGCAGCTCCTCTACATATACATCCTCGGTTGGAACGTCGATTTCGGACATCTCGAAGCGGTCAACCTCATCTCCGCGACCAAGTACTCGGAAAAGCAGATCGGATACCTCGCCGTTACCTTATTCCTACACGAGGAGCACGAACTGCTACACCTGGTCGTTAACAGCATCAGGAAGGACCTGCTGGACCACAATGAGCTCAACAACTGTCTGGCGCTGCATGCGATTGCAAACGTTGGTGGAAAGGAGCTGGGAGAGGCACTCAGCGCCGAGGTTCACAGGCTTCTGATATCACCGTGAGTGGCATGAGATGGGTTTCGTGGCCAAGCTGACGTCGAATAGGGCCTCCAAGGCATTCGTGAAGAAGAAGGCCGCCCTTACACTCCTGCGATTATACCGGAAACACCCTGCGATCGTACAGCACGAATGGGCGGAACGGATAATATCCCTCATGGACGACCCCGACATGGGCGTGGCGCTTTCCGTAACTTCTTTGGTCACCGCACTCGTCCAGGACAACACCGAGCAGTACAAGGGAAGCTACATCAAAGCAGCGAATAGGCTGAAGCGGATAGTAGTGGACAACGAGTGTGCCGAAGGCTACTTCTACTACAAGGTGCCATGTCCATGGATTCTGGTCAAGCTGCTCAAGTTGCTGCAGTACTACCCACCTCCTGGTTTGTGTCTACTCCAGCTATTATCGTCTCGTGCTAACAGAAGCAGAGGACTCACATATTCGAAAACTGATTCGCGAAGCGCTCCAAAAGATCATGGACTCAGCCCTCGAAATGCCCAAGAACGTACAGCAGAATAACGCGCAGAACGCCGTCCTCTTCGAAGCGATCAACCTCGTAATACACCTCGACACAGAGCAAGACCTGATGGTTCAAATATCACAACGGCTGGGCAAATTCATCGCATCTCGGGAAACCAATGTGCGGTATCTTGGACTGGAGGCCATGACGCATCTGGCAGCTCGATCGGAGAATCTCGACCCCATCAAGAAGCACCAGGCTATCATCATCGGATCGTTAAGAGACAGGGATATCAGTGTACGAAGACAAGGTCTAGACTTGCTCTACAGCATGTGCGATCCAACGAATGCGCAAGCCATCGTGAACGAACTCCTACGATACCTACAATCCGCCGACTACGCGATACGGGAAGAGATGGTACTGAAGATTGCGATTCTTACCGAGAAGTACGCTACCGACGTTCAGTGGTACGTGGATATATCGCTACGGCTGATCGCCATGGCCGGAGACCACGTCAGCGACGAAGTCTGGCAGCGAGTCATCCAGATCACAACAAACAACGAAGAGCTACAAGTGTACGCCGCGCAAACGATCCTGCAGTACATCAAGTCGGACTGCCACGAGACGCTTGTAAAGATTGGTGGATACCTGCTCGGAGAGTTCGGCCACTTGATCGCGGACAGCAAAGGATGCAGCCCGATCGAGCAGTTCATGGCGTTGAGCGCAAAGATGCGGGGTTGCTCGTCAACGACACGGGCGATACTCTTGTCGTGTTACGTCAAGTACGTGAACTTGTTCCCCGAGATCAAGCCTCAGCTTCTTCAAGCTTTCCGCGCCTACAGCCACTCGCTCGACTCCGAACTCCAGCAAAGAGCATGCGAATACCTCACACTCGCCACCATGCCGACGGACGACCTACTGCGCACCGTTTGCGACGAGATGCCTCCCTACCCAGAACGGACGTCAGCGCTGCTCTCGCGGTTACACCAGAAGCACGCCACTACTAGCGATAAGCGGACATGGGTGGTTGGCGGCAAGGATGCGAATGCGGATCTCAAAGAATTCGGTCTTGCAAGGCAGAATACGTCTGCTGGTGTCAAGAGAAGCTTCACCGAACCTGTACCAAAGGACGCCAAGACCGGCGCAGCAAATGGCGCCAACGGCGTCGCAGCGATATCAAGTGATTTGGAAGGTCTGGATCTCAACATGGATCTGAGCAAGGCTTCCAAAGCACCAAATCTCGCAAGCGCAGCGCATCTCAGTCCCGATTGGGAGGTTGGCTACACTCGTCTCCTATTACGGTCGGAAGGCGTACTCTACGAAGACCAGCAAATACAGATCGGTCTGCGAACAGAGTACCGCGGGCAGTTAGGCGCTCTCATCTTCTACTTCACGAATAAGTCACAGTTCTCCATGGGATCTTTCACCACCACACTCGACAACCGGTCTTCGGAAACACTGAAGACGGACATCAAGGGCCTACCCGACACCTCCATCGCGCCTGAAGGCCAAACGCAGCAAACCATCATGTTCGAATGCAAGAACGTCTTCATCGACCCGCCTACTATTCGTATATCCTACCTCGCCGGAGCCTTACAGGGTCTAACCCTCCAACTCCCCGTCCTCCTACACAAATACATGGAAGGCGCCGAACTCAGCGCAGAAGACTTCTTCAAGCGCTGGAAGCAAATCGGCGGTGCCCCGCGCGAACATCAGAGTATATTCGGCTTGATCAACAAGAACAGAACCATGGACTCTGAGTTTGTGCAAAAGGTTGTCAAGGGCTTCAAGTGGGGCATTGTGACGGGTGTGGATCCTAATGGCAAGAACATCGTGGGTGCGACGGTGTTACATTCGAGTGAGGGCAAGTTTGGTTGCTTGTTGAGGCTGGAGCCGAACTTTGAAACACAGGTATGTGACGATGGTACTATCGTGAGAGGAGGCAAGACTAACAAAGAACAGATGTACCGGATCACGATTCGCGCGACTGATGAGTCGGTTCCGCCTGTTCTCGTCAAGGCTATGCAAGATCGCCTCTCGCAGGGTATTGAGGGCATGGCTTAAGTCAAGAGACTTTTGCCTTCCCACCTTTCCAACGAACGCCACAATCACCACCGATATTCTTACACCATCACCCTCATGATGTGTACACACCTGGAACCTTTTGTTCATATACTAATGTCTTTGTCTGGGAAACTTTGGGTTGTTGCGAGAGAGAGAGAGCGAAAGAAGTATGTTTGATGGCTGGGCTGGGCTGGGCTGCATATTCTTGAGGAGAAGGAGGAAAACATTGAGATATGGCGCATACCCTTGTTTCTGGCTCATGTAGCATGATTACATTTATATTGGAGCGTTTCTTGGTTTCGTGAAAATTGGGCTTTGATTTTGATGTTTGTGGGTGATGTTGAGAGGTGACAATGATGATGCTTGAGTGACGCGAATACCTTCAGGATATGTTTTGCTGTTGCCTTGGAAAAGACGAGCCTCTCCATGTTGCCGTGGCGCACACGACTTCCCGAGGACAAATCATGTATACTTCAGTTCTGAAAATCTTAGAGTCATGGAATGTGTGGTCCAACTTGGTGGAGTTGATGTAACTTGAGTTCAGTCATTGGTTCGAAAAGAATGGCTCGACCAAACCACAGTTCACGGCACTGCTCTCTTTACCCCCATAAAACAGAACACAAGTTCTCCTTCTGTCTTCAAAGTCATTTATCCCTCTTACAACATAACACATCGCGAAAATCTCTTAGCTTCATCTTCACACAACTCGCGCCAAAAGGAACACCTACGCATTCCTCAACTCCATATCCTCCTCTCCACACCATCAAAATGGCCGAACGCAAGACTGTCCAGAAGTACTATCCCGCCGACTTTGACCCAGCAAAGATAGTGCGCTCAAAGAAATCCTCAATTCCCACACGCACCGTCGTAAACTTCGCCTGCCCCTTCCGCAGCATGCGCTGCCTCTCCTGCGGCCACTACACCACCAAGGGCAAAATCTTCCGCAACAGCCCCAAACACATCTCGCCGGAAAGCTACCTCGGCGTGAAGATCGTTACTCTGCACTGCAAGTGTCCTGGCTGCGGCGCGGAAATCGTTATTGAGACTGATCCTAAGGATATGGACTACAAAATCGTGAGCGGGGCAAAGAGACAATACGAAGCGTGGAGGGATGATGAGCGTGCCGGGGATACCGAGGAGCAGCGTTTGGAGAGGCTTGAAGCTGAGGGACTTGAAGAAGGCGACGAGAAAGCGACGTTGGAGACGCTGGAAAGGAAGATTGAGGATGCGAAGGTTGAGGTTGCTGTTGCGGATGCGTTGGATGAGATTAGAGCGGCGAATGCACGGAGGGAGGGCGTTGATAAGGGTTGAAGTGTGGCTACCCTTTTGCCAGTGAGAGAAGTTGAGGATGCGGAAGATGCGGAGATTGCGAGGGCTGTTTTTAGGGGTACGAAGAGGTGTGCACCGGCATCAACATCTGGAGAGCCGCTGGATGTGGAGTTCTCGATGTCGAGGCTGGTGAAGAAGATCAAGAGGGATTTTGCGAAGACATTGGGGATTAGGAGGAAGACGGATGTTTAGGGTCTTAGATATTCCATCAATGTTTTCTTTTGCCGACTTTGAGCTGTTACGTGCTATCTGAATCTGCGAACAGGATGTCAGGGACGGTAGTCTTAAAGGCCTTTATCCCGTACTTAATGAAAACTGGTACATAATAAATGGGCACGGTGCCTACACGTGCAAACCGCCACAACATGCTGCGGTGATTTGGTATGGACCACCACAGAAAGAGTTTGAGTTGCCACGCTTTCCTGTGTTCACAGTGAAATTTGGGTGGCCACACAGGTATAAGCTCGAAAAGATGACGCCGGACAGACCTTGGATTGATACCGTTCTTATAGCCACCAAGCTGCGAGAACCATTGACTCGCTGTATTAACGAAGTCGTCTCTGGGGAGCCACCCCTGGGACCCAGTACGATAGCCTTCGGCCTCTCTAGTCAGTAGTATGAGCAATATTTCATGCGGTTGCAACGAGTAATCAGGAAAAATTCGAAGGGAAGGACGGATCATACCCATCGCACCGTATACTGAATCTCGCAAATCCGAGCATTCTGATCCCCAAACCACAAGTCCCAGAGTATAGAAGGTTGATGAAATCGTCCTTCGTTGCGATCCAATCCAAGATATGCGTATATCTACATTGTTTTCACGGAGACCTCCTCGAAGATTGTCGTCAACTCTAACATCTGGGTGCGATCGTGCTCGGCTCAGCCGTTCCCAACCCGAAAAAAATGCATCACCTGAAATGGTCTTCGAGCCAATACGCATATTGATGATCCTTCCGAGTACGATCTCCTGAACAATCCAAAGTCTTGACCAGTATGATATCTGTAAGAGGCGGCGCATAGATGGAATAATCGCACGCATTTCGCGCTTGGTCAAACTGAGCTTTACGCAGCTCCCTTGGTGTGATGAGAGTGTACTTTCGTGGAAGATCAGATCAACCAGCGCATCACTTCCTTCAAACCCACAGCCCAACCAAACCTCCACGGTAGCTGCGCTGTAAATGTCCGTCATCTGGTTGACCTGATGGGCTTTTTCGTCGTCCTTTCCTTGATTGATGCAAACTTGATCGATCCAGAACCAAGCTGAGCTACTGTTCCGTCTATTTGTCAGGAATTCGAAGAGATTTTGTCGAATCGAAAACCAGCCTCTGCAGTCGGCGCTTGTGACGAGTATGTCTTGTGCTGGCGATTCAGGACCCCAAGTGTATGATAATGCAGTGAAATCGAACATTCCTTGTAGAAATTCGTCCTGCATAGCCATTCCCTGTTCTAGCCCAGCTCTGTTTCTAGCTACCTCCTCACGGTAGCGAACAAGAGCAGCAAAATGTCTGCTCAAGTCGACGTGTTTCATGGTAACCTGTATTGGGCTTGATGGCTCGACGCTCGGTTCAATCGTCAGGAGTCGCACCTCTTCGTTCTTGAAATTCAGCGGCGTGTGCGTGAATCGCACATGCTTAGGTGGCATCTCCATCGCTGCGACACGGGATTGCGTCGATGTTTGCTCGGCCATTTGGATAATGCGTGCTTTCGTGAGAGTCTTTTGTAGGGCTTCAGTTTAACCTCGAACTTCGCAGGCACTGTTGATGCCGCGCTCTTCCGCTGGTCTGGTTATATAAGAGATGACAACTTCAGAGCGAACCCAGTTGCGCGTCTGCATCGTGGGAGCTTCTGTGGTGTAGCAAGGTCAAGTCAGATATAACTTAAAAGAGCATCGAGGCGGAGCAAACCCAGGAGGCGCAGTATTCTCAGAAGGCTGGCGCCCCATACGTTCGTGGCTGATCTAGACATGTTCTAGGCTGTAAACAAGGCGAGCGTGTTCGAACATTATACGCTGATTCGAAACTCTCATTGTGACGATGTCATGAACACGTCGTCTACACTGCCACAAGCTACAGAAGAAACCTGGATTTGATAGCGCGCAATCGCAGACATGGTGAGAATGATGTAGCTTGTGTGAAGGACAACCCGTGGACGCACGTTGTTGCCTCAGCCCTGGAGGTGTCGACGGTTGGCGCTACGATAAGTTGGGCTTAGTAGCGATTCCACGTTAAACGAGCTCCCTCGTATAGCTCCAGCTCATAGAAACAGCAGTAACAACGCGATGCAACTCGTACGCAATTAAAAAACCTATTCCTTCGTCCTGCATGCATATTGTGTCAAGACAAGTCGCAAACCATGCATGCTCAAATTCCACGAATTGAAATCTTCGCACGTTAGGTTCCAGCTCACCATCAATATGCCATCATTTTGAACGCTTGAGATTCGACTTGTATTTGGTAGCAAGGTTTCTTTCTACTAACCCTCCCAGTACTCTATCAAGTGAGAAAGAAAGATAGTCTGCTGTGAATGATGCGCAAGCAGCATGCGCTCAAGTGCCTTATCCCACTGCCCCCAAACACCACCGTTACACAACACCACTCTTCTCCTCATAACACAGCATATATTCTCCGACGCAAGCACTGCAAGCACGCCCATCGCACCCCTCGCGTCGTGCAACCAAAGACTCGACAGCAAAAGCCAGGTTTGAGCCGGGTACTTGCACCGTGAGCTGCATGGCCGGTGGGTGACTTGTGCTTGTGAGGCGAAGAGAACGCATGGATGTAAGGTGCAAAGTGCAAGGTACCGATGCAGGAAGGGAACTGAGCTTCGAGGAGCTTGGGCTTTGGGCTTTGCGTTGATGATGTGCTTTTGTGAGGGATGGCCGTGCTGGGAGGTGTTGATGTGGGTGCGATGACGAAGTGTTGGATTAGGTCTTTCGGAGTGATCGAACTCACGATGCGATGACGAGGCTGAGCTCGTTCTCCCGGGTCCTGGCCCGTACAGCAAAATGATAAGAGTCATACCTTACCGACAAACCTTCAGACTATTGCTGCCCAAGACGCGATCTCTGCCCAAACATTTCTTCTTCCTCTCCTTCCTCCGCCACAGACGCAGGAAGCCGACCGTAGAATATACTCGGATAGATGCCTGCGAGATCCCACAGCCATGAGTCCGCCTCGCTAGCCCACCGTAGATCCATCTTTCCTCGCTGCATCCTCGTTTTTCTTCGTACGAGCTCGCGGGCCCGGTAGCTAGCTCCCTATGCCATGCCATGCGGCCATCCCAGCGTCGGGCATCGCCTACGTGCGTTCTATATGCGTTCTGCCTAGGAGGCGAAGTCGACGATAATAGCGTTCCGAAGTCTGGATATCGCGCTACCTGGTTCATGCATGTTCGCAACAAGGTTTGGAGAGGGAAAGGACATCGTAGCGTATGACGCGTGAAGAGAACCGTGGAAGGAAAAGAAGACAAGTCGTCGTCTAAAGCGCTAGGCACCTACCAGCCAGTGGGCTGTCCCGGACGCTCTTCTCGTATGCCCAATGACCTGTGCTCATGGGCTGATCATGCAGCTTCGCGTGGGATGCCGGCCATATGGCACACTAAAGGCAAACCTTGCTAATTGGGGGTGTGCAAAAGGCAACCATGGTCGATCGTGAACGTTCGCCTTTGTTAGTACGACGCCAGAATGGGAAAAGCATAGACAGAGGCTCAGCTGTCACGCCGTTGGAACTGGTACAGCGCACGGAGAGGCTGAGCAGCGAAACGCTCTGGGCGACTGTCGGAGACCGCCTAGTTGCATATGCGCCCTTCGGAACGCCTACCCGCTGTCAGTCTTACGCCTGTCCTTGTTGTGTATACAGCCGGGTGTGAGTGTGCTGTTGTAGCTTGCCGTGAGGAATGTGTTACTGTGAACACCTTTTCTCGGGCCGGTCGTACGTGTACGGGAAGCCGCTTGTGTCTTTGGCGGAAACGCGGGTATAGAGGCATGTCCAATTGTTCGTATGGAGGATGCAGCAAACTCAAACGCAGTGATACGCTCGTAGATGGCGGATGTCTGCAGGTGGCTAGATGAGGACCATCGCTGTGTTACTTGCGTTGCCCAAGGGGGCTCGTTACAGTAAGGGGCGTTCCGAAGCATTGGACTGGGCGAACACATGTCGAGAAGCGGCGCAATGCTGTACCACTTGTGGGGATATCGTGCTAGCATTGAGCAACGATCTGATCATGTTGTGGAAGGTTTCTCGCAAGTGGCTGATGAGGCAGACTTGGGTGGCTATCGTGCAACCATGCAGCGCCATTGCATGTTCTTTGTGCGACTGACAAAGTTTGGCATCGCCCTAGGAGGAGAAGGAAATATGCGGAGATGCTCGCCGGTACGGAGATACTGGGTATCAGTGACTTGGAGATGTATTTCCGGTGTCCACGAACAAACGCGCGCTGGTGATGGAAGGTTTTGGGTTCATGACTTGGAGTGACGCCTTTGCTGGTCCGGCCCGGTGAACACCCAAAGTACTGTCGATGTGCAGTGCCACGGATAACCGCATCGGCATGGAGGCATGCTTTTGAGATGCCTGCCTGGAAGAAGGGTCGATCGCGTCGAGATGAACGTGCTCAGCTAAAGGAACGAAGAGATTCCAGGCATCAGGTTCTAACAGCACAGCACAGACTGGTACCCGCAAGGTGGATGTCAATCGACAGACCCGACAGTTTGTAGTGAGACGGAACGGTGACACCGACAAACAACAAGCCACGAAGCTTACTGCGCGCAAGGTCCGCTCCTTACTTTGAGGTCTCAGATCGGCAATCCCTATGCAGAAGTAAGTATCCGGTGTGCAGTTTACCGAAACCGTTCGTCTATCTGTCACGCCGCACCTGGCATGTCACATGCTCACAAAGCGAAGGCGAGATCGCGCCTAAGCAAAAGCCAGTTCGAGGTACTTTCGGGGCGCACGAAAAAGCATGCTTCTGGGGTGCGTACGGGTGTC